ATTCGATCATTCTATTGTTCGTCATTTAAATACCAATTTACATCATCAAGACATTAAACAGAGATTACGTCATTTACACGTTCCATATGACCATTTTCGTCTCGATAAACATCGCAATCGTGTTGTTCAAAAAAAGTGATCAAAATTGAATTACAAAATTTTTTTTCCAGTGTATTTTGCTGGGAAATGAAAAAGTATTTTGAAAAAAACCTTGCCAAAAATGCTGCAAAAGCGATGCATCGTGGAAAAAAACTTTTAGTAAAAAAAATGTGCGCAATAGGCCGACTGCGGGGGCTAACGTTGTCTGATTTTTAAAATTTTCTTCCACATATTTTAAATTTAAATTCTTTTAAAATTTAAAATTTAAAAAAATTTAAATTTCATTTTTTTCAAAGTTTTTCCATTAACTCTGAAAAACAGGCAACGTTACCCCCCGTAGTCGACCATTGCGCACAATTTTTGTAGCAGGACTTTTACTCCATCATGCTTCGTTATTGCAGGATCTTCGGCAAGAGTTTCACACTGCAGTTAAGGATTGGGTCATCGCACTTTATCAAACTATGTCAGTTTGGAAAGGACGATTGAATTTGAAGGATTGTAACATGGTGGCTAGATAGCCCAAAGTGTTCTCTACAGTTCAACGCAAGACCGACCTCTCTATTTGTTGTGGTTCTAGAACAGCAGGCATTTCCTCAAGAGAAATGGTAACGAATTACGGGTGACTCCAGAAAATGCCTGCTAATCGCGAACCTTAATAGATACAGAGGTTGGCCGTGCGCAGAATAGTAGAAAACATTTTGGGCTATCTAGTCACCATGTTATAATTAAAAATCCATCTCAGGTTCAGAATCTGGCAACCTCATTGTTTTTCATCCGTCAGGTAACCACCTGAAAAACCAAGATTTTTAGCACCAAATATATGTGAAGATAGAATAAAGCCTTCTCTACAGAATGCTGAAAATCGAACTCTCAATCTCTTTTCGTTCTTGAGTTATTTAAAAAACATTCATGACCGCTGTATTGAGAAAGCATAGTAGAAACCCCGTTTGTCTGAAACTAAGTACAAATAACTGCTTATGCGTAACATTTTTGAAAAGACAAACACGGGCTTTGTAGGGATTGGAAATCTTTGTCGAATGACGTATTACTTTACCGTTTCTAATAAACCATTAATTTGCAAATAAAACTGTAACGTACCAGAGTGATATTAATTATTATTCATTAGTATGTTAAATTATAAATTATTGTCTCAAAAAAGCTTCTTTTTCATTAAACCATAACAACAGACCCTTGACTATCAAGCAATGCGTAAATGACTTTTCTACGATTATTTTGGACTAAGCTACAAGTTTTTTAAAATGAGGACTAGGACTTTAAATTTTCATTAAAATTTAAACTTAACTGATTAATAACTCTGCGAATACTTATCAGTTCATCGAAAGAACTTAAGGATATATGTAGCCAGGTGTCCTCTTTAAACTGACAAAGTTTGAAGGTACATATATGGGGGGTGGACCCCCATATATCCCCCCCTTAAACCTTCGAAATAAAATGCTGTGCACATGTATAATGGTCCAATAAATCCAACTGTTTCCTGCAAATGTAACAAGGAATGAATATTCGATGACATATTTCTTAATCCAGATATCTTTTGCCATTGTATGATAAATTGATTGGATAATGATTCGATTAATTGCAAATCATCATAACAAACGTTGTCTTTCGATGTAATATTAATAACAGATAGCAATAAAGCAAAATGTTGATGATATTTTAGTGCATTTAGAGTACGCTTGAACCCTGATGCATTAATGATCGATGTTCATTCGCTTTAAAACTTGTTATATGTTTCATTGAACGAAATCTTTGACTGATTGTTGTTAGAATTTTGATCGATTTTAGTCCATATTCAATAGCATTTATTTTCTTGAATAATGACCAATTTTTGCAAGGATACTCTTCTGCTTTCGAAAATAGTAACAAACACATCTGCTTAAAAATTCATCTTCCTAAATCAAGAAAGAGAAGAGATCATTCTGTTGTAAATTATAAAACACAGCACACCACGATGCCCGTATACTGACATTTGATTATCTTCGACTTCGTCTACCAGTTTCCCACAAACATGTGAATTCCTTTGATCATATTTACCATATGGAAATACTTTAATATTAAAATGTTTACCATTTTTATTGGAACCCAGAAAACACTTCTCCTGCAACAAAAATAATATCTTGGAAAAGATTAGTAATCGACACAAAAAAAAAATAAATACAACTGTTCACCTTGAATGAAGCATCTAGCGCACCCATAATTGGCATTGTATGCGACTGTATTCGGCAATAGTGATTGAGCTGGTTTGTCAGAACAAACAGCAATTAAGTAGAATTGTAGTGTTTCTACACTGTTGAGATATGATGTTTAGTATCGTTTCGAATGATCTGTTGCTTGGATGCTTTTTGGCCGGAATATCACCACCAAGCACAATTGATTCTGAATATCGAATTGTCGGTAATGGTATTTCATTTAACATAGACATAATCAGCCATAATGCCACGTGCTGATTCTTGGAAACGATCCCGCCAGCATTGATTATCATTGTAAAGGATGTGTCAGATTCATTCATAAGTATATCACCATATGTTGTTAGTCTTAACTTTTCTTCATTTTGTTCGCGCTGTTCTGTTATTTGATCATACACAGTTGGTATCAGTAAAATATGTTGTAATTGTTCAGCCAGTGAATAATAGTAAAATTCAAGAAGACTATCACAATCACATTCTTTACATAATTCCAGTTTCATATCATGAATAGGATTTCTACACTGATTACATATTTGACATAATGATCATTCTGACGTTACATCTAGTTTTGTTATTGCCTTAATGGACTTCCACGAAACTGAGATATTTGGTACATTTAATGAATTGATCATACTACAAAATAATCCATATCCGCGTTGCTTTGACGACGTCTGATTTTGTATATAGTTGAAGCAGCAACTATATCAGCAGCGCTAGGTTGTAAAGGTCTAACCGATGGTTATATTTCTAATCAAATAAAACAAAGAAAAAATCAGAATAACATTTCATAGAGTGACGTTTGAAAAGTTACCTAATTCTTTTTCAAACTTCTCATTTAAAACTTCAGTTGATTCTTCGCTTATATCTGTCAATAAACCTAAAATTGTATATCTTTAAATAAAACAATTGTAAACAAAAGAATATACTACCGTTCACGTTGTACCGTGGATTCGCTTGTGTTGTATGAGAGCGAGATGAAGACAAAAGTTCAAACATTACAAGATCCTCAGCCTTGACAGTCACACGACATCGATAATAAGTTCTTCGAGATGTCATCTCAAATGAAAAAGATACAGAAAAAGCTGAAACGCACGTTTTAATTTATGGCATAATTATGGAGAAATCAACTATATCATTGCAGTGCCTATATTTATTTTATTTTCAATCGTTCAACCACAAATACAGGTCAATGTTCAACAAAAAGTAAGTTTACATACAGCAACAAAGAAAACAATAGAGTAGGGAGGGGTAATTAGAACAGTATTTTTTTAAATCCCGTATTTTCGTTCTCTCTCAGTTAGCTTAAGAAATTAGTACTTTCTTGGAAGAGGTGTAGAGGAGGTCATTTTCTGTCAAGTGGTCATTTTCGTTTTTCTAAATTCCATTTCCTTCAGGATCAGGAGCAGATCTCCGGCTGACCGGTCGCGACTGCTCTAATTCCCTGCATGTGGG